GGCCGCCCCCCCGCCCAGGTGAGGGGGCGGGGCGCAGGGGTCGCCATGGCGACGTGGTGGGCCACACGCTGCTGCGGTTGGCATGGAGGCGCCGCGCGGGGGGCCGGGGCCGCTACCCATTGGCCACCCCAACAGACGTGGCCTGGGCGCCCAGTGCTGCTGCCCGGCTGGACACAGGGCACGGGGCACACGCCGTCTGGCCCAGCCGCTTGGCTGCGGAGCGGGGCTAACGCCCAAACGCAGGTTTGGGGGCGCTCTGTGCTGAGGGGGCAGGTAGCACCCCAAGCTTCACTTGGGAGAAAGCACCCCTGCCCGCTGTCGTGCGTGGGGTGGGGACGCTCTCACCTAGGTGGGCCCTGGAAGCAGGGACTGACTGGGGGCACACAGGGCTGCACCCCCATCTCTGGGGCCTGGCACCCCAGCTGGAAGGGGTGCCACTGTCTGCCCAGTCTGCAGAGTGCCTGGGGATCAAGCCACCTTGAGACCCTCCGTTCCGGCAGGGCCAGCAGAGTGTGCTAGGTCTGGGCTGAGCCCCCTGTCTGTACCCTACCCCAGCAGCTGGTGCAGAAGAGGCCATGCGGCGCAGCGATCCCAAGAGCGACGTGGTCCTGGAGCCTGTGGCCGCGGCACAAGAGGCCTGTCCAATGGTCAGCAGGGTGCAGCTGGTCCAGGAGCCCCCACAGAGGACCGTGCTGGGGGTGCTCACAGAGAATGGGCAGTTCCGGAGGGCCTGCGGCCAGGTGACCAGGGCCCTGGGAGCCCCTCTGATGTGTGTGGGGTCTCTGCTGGCACTGCACCCACAAACAGCGTAGCTGTCCCCCGGGGCCATCTCAGGGAGAAACAGAATCATCTGGGTCACTTTGCCTGAGATGGAGGCAATGTGGCTAGACAGGGTCTCCAGGGGACACCTCCCCCCCACCCCCTCTAATTGGTGTGGTTACAATCTGAGGCAGGTCACCCACAGTGGGTGCTATGCACATGCAAACACCCTCACCCTCCTCAGGATAGCAACGTGTCTCTACGTTGAAGACGTAGTGTCCGGGTGTCTGCAGGTGTGTCTGTAACGACTCCTCCACAGAGGAAAGTGTGGTGTGTTTGGTCCTCACAGACGTGTGACTGCGGATGTCAGAATGAACACAGGACCGGTTTACGCATTCAGGACAGCGCGAGGGATGGAGCCTGCGCCCTCCTGATGCAGGAAGGTCCTGCATGCGTAAACGTAGTGAGGTCGTGGGCTGGAACCCTACGGCTGGCGCAGTGCGTTACGGGTCGGGCTGCTCATCTTAAGGACTGCAGTTTGAAACCGCCAGGCTGCTCTCGGGAGAAAGATGAGGCTGTCTGCCCGGTAGCAGTTACCATCTCAGAACCCGCAGGGGCACACTCTGTCCTATGGCGTCTCTAGAAATCTGTTCAACTTGATGGCAGCAGGTTTGAGTTTGAAAGGTATTAGGCTAGAGAGAGGAGCCCTGGTGGCATCGTGGCTAAGCTATTGCCTGCTAACAGAACGGTTGGTGGTTCGAACCCAGCCAACTGCTCTCGGGAGAAAGACCTGGTGAGCCAGTAAAGATGGTCGCCTGGAAAATCTATGGGGCCATTTTACTCAGCCGTGTAGCTTCCAGGAGCCCAGAGGTGGCACAGTGGGTTGGCACTGTGCTGCTAACCACAAGGTCAGCTATGTGTACCCCCACCAGCTGCTCCAAGGGAGAAAGAAGAGGCTGTTTGCTCCTGTAGAAACCCACCTGGGCAGCCTGACTGCCCTGTGGGCCACTCTGACCCAATTGGCTGGGTGGACATGAGTTTGCCTAGACTTATGGGATGCTTCAGGGTCGTGGTTGACATAATGGCTTCAAGGGCCGGACTGCCTGTTATTGTCGTTAGAGGTTGTGGAGTGTGTCACAGGCCCCTTATGCTAGGGGACTCCTGCAGGGTTTACAGGCACAAAGGGCTTAAGGGCCGTGCCTCTCTTAAGCGGAGCCTCTGCGTGGTGTGAACTGCCAACTTCCAGTAGCCACTACTGCACGCCATCTGCAGCACTGGAGCTCATCGGGGGAGGTGGTGTTAGTGCCATTGAAGCGGCTCTACCCACAGCGACCCCAGGCACAACAGAAGGAAACACTGCGGGGTGCTGTGCCATCCTCCGAATTGTTCCTGTGCCTGAGCCCATCCATCCATCCATCTCCTTGAGAGCCTTCCTCCACTTTACCAAACATGGTGTCCTTCTCCAGGGACTGCTCTCTCCTAACAACATGTCCGGAATTCTTGAGTCGAAGTCTCGCCATCCCTCCTCTAAGGAGCACTCTAGCCTGACTTGTCCCAACACAGATCAATTTGTCCTTGAGCAGCATGGTGCCTTGTCACCTTCTCCAGGATCGCAATGCAAATGCACCGATTCTTCTTATGTCGTCTTTAGTCAATATCCAACTCTCACATGCGTATGAAGCGAGTGAAAATACTATGGCTTAGGAAAGGTGCACCTGACTCCTCAACGTAACATCCTTGCTTTTCAATGCTGTAAAAGGGGTCTTGTGCAGCAGATGTATCTGAGGCGATGTGTCCTTTGAGCTGTTGACTGCTGCTTCCGTGAGCATTGACTGTGGACCCCAGCGAGGCAAAATCTTTGCCAAGTTTAATACTTGCTGTTTCTCGTGCTGGTCACCTACTGGTCCAGTGGTGAGGATGTGGGGCCTCCTTCTGTGGAGCTTCAGTCCGTACTGACGGCTGCAATCCTGGATCTTCACCAGCAAGTGCCCAAGTGCACAGGGTGATGTGGACCTGAACAACCTCAGGTAGCCCTGTCAAGTTTATCTGGAGAAGGCAACAATCAGGCCCAAATGATATCTCCCTGCCCCCACCCCACTCCCGGGCCTCAGGGACAGGGCTCGCTGGAGGGTGAGGGTGAGGTTTCCACACAAAAGCCTCACAGGACAGCCCTGTGGCCCTTGAGCAGGGGTTCTCCACCTTCCTCACGCCGTGACCCTTTAATGCAATTCCTCATGTGGGGATGACCCCCAACCATAAAATTATTTTCATTGCTACTTCATCACTGGCATTTTGCTACTGTGATGAATCGGGCAGCCCCTGTGAAAGGGTCGTTCAGCCCCCAAAGGGGTCACGACCCACAGGCTGAGAACCGCTGCCCTTGAGGAGTCAAAAGGTGAATTTCTGGGACGGGAAAGAACAACGGCTCCACACGACTTCCCAGGCCTCTTTCCTCATCAGCGCAGGTTTGACTTTTCTTGAAACTTCTGGGGAATCAGTCCTCCTGCCCATCCTAAATCCTTTGGAGCAAATCTATCAAGACAGCCCCTTGGGGATCCCCAGAAAATGGCCACCCTCGTCTCCGGAGCTGGCCTTGCTGCCTGGTCTGGAACTGGCCCAGCGCAGTCCCTCGGAAGCCACCGCTTTAGCTGGACTTTTCCTTGAAGGTGCCCTGCCGAGGCTAAAAGCAGTGTGTGACTGCGGGAACGAGTCTGCAGCACACACACACACACACACACACACACACACACACACACACACGGCTCCTGAAGCACAGGGGTCATTTCTGTTTAGGATTCACTTCCTCGGCCCCCTAGCCCTGCTGGCTTGGGCTCCCCGAGGCAGCGTGGACCCAGAGGTGGCCCCTCACCCCAAACTCACTGTGTTCTAGGGGATCGCAGCCTTCAGGTATTTCTCTGGCCCAGAAAATGCCTATCCTGTTGCCGGCAAGAAGCCCCCTGACCTGGCCCTCCACATGCCTCCCAAGCATGGGTTCGACATCTACATGGACGACCCTGACCTGGGGGACGCGGGGTGCCATGCCGGGTGCACGGAGGTGTACCAGGTGGGCCCTGCCTCCCACAGGTCAGACCTCCATTTCCTGTTGGACTTCAGCACAGGTAGGGCTCACCTGGAGGGGGGGGGGGCAGCAGCCTGGAAGGAACTGTGGCTGAGGGGCTTCTCTGGCTACTGGGTTCTGCAGTGTCCCCAATGCTGGTGGAGTCCTGCGTCCACTCGCAGCCCGAAGACTCCGTGCCTGAGCTGGGCTCCGACATGATCAACGTGACGGAGTATGCTGAGGAGATACACCAGTACCTCCGAGAGGCCGAAGTGAGTGTCCCAACGCAGCTCCACCAGCATGTAACCACGGGACCTGGTGGCGCTGCGGGTGAGGTGCTTCCAACCCACGGGCGCTCCTTGGGAGAAAGACGGGGCTGTCTGCTCCGGTGAAGATTCACAGCCTCAGAAACCCCCCCGAGCCATTCTACCCTATGCCGGCAGAGGGTCTGCTTTGGGTTCAGTGCCTCATGTCATTTCAGGCTGCCCATAGTCGAATCTGCCCTCCTGCTGTGGGTGGGGCAGCTTATGCTCACTCGGGGCACCCTGGAGACAGAAGAGAACTGCCCAGGGGCTTCCCAGGCAGCCGTCTTTATGGGTGGGGGCGAGCCCGCCTTTCTCCCGGAGCCTTGGGGCTGCCACCTGAGCACTTGACCACAGGGCCACCACGGCCGGCTGGCTCTCCAGTGACACAAAGGCCTGAAGAGGTGCCAGCAGGGTCCTTGACCAGGTCACAGGGCTCCCAGTGCCACATGGCAGCTTGTGTGCTGAGCTGGAGCTCACCTGGCCGACCCTGCCCTCACCTGTCCGTCCCCAAACCCCGTTATTGATGGCAGCTGCCAGTCTAGCCCCTGCCATCGTTGTCGAAGGAACGGGTGCTTGTCCTGATTCCCTGGAAGAGCTGCAGAAACCCACCCCCAGCGCCCTCTGCCCACAGCTGAGACACCGGCCCAAGGCACACTACCTGCGGAAGCAGCCGGACATCACGGCGGGCATGCGTGCCATCCTGGTGGACTGGCTGGTGGAGGTGGCTGAGGAGTACAAGCTGTGTGCTGAGACACTCTACCTGGCTGTCAACTTCCTGGACCGCTTTCTCTCCTGCATGTCTGTGCTGCGTGGCAAGCTGCAGCTGGTGGGCACAGCTGCCATCCTGCTGGCCTCGTGAGTGCCCCCCACTGCTGGCTGCAAGGTGGGCGGTTCAAATCCACCAGAGGATCCAAGGGAGAAAGATGACAGCTGCAGAATACCTATGGACTTGATGGTTTGGGTCTGTCTCTCAGCCCCGTCCAGCCTGTGACAATGCACTCATGGTCCGGCCCACCTGACTGCAAGGGACAGAGCAGGACGCAACAGGGCCTTCCCTAGACAGTCATCCTCACGGGGCAGATGGCACAGCTTTGCCCGTCGGAGCCAAGGGCCAATTGGAACCAGCCACCCTCTGGCTAGCAGCCAGCAGATCCACCACTGCCCACCAGGCCACCAGCACAATGCGCTGTCCTTGTAGCACTCAAGGAACCCTGGTCGTACAGTGGGTCACATGGGGCTGCTCACCATGAGGTCGGCTGTTCAAACCCACCAGCCGCTCCTCCGGAGATAACAGAGGCTGTCTGCTCCCCTAGAGAGTTACAGTCTTGGAAACGCACAGGGTGGCTCTGAGCCGGAGCTAACTCAGGGACAGTGGGCGGTCACCCTCCTGTTCTTGACTGTAGCAGCTCCTCAGACACACACAGCCCCTCGCCGCCTCCCCGCGCCGTGCGGTGGCCATCCTGGTTGTGACTGGCCATTGAAAATCCCAGGACGCCCACGGGTGGGGGGTGATTGGCAGCTGCTCTCCCCCAGCGGGTAGTGGGGGCTTCTGTGCGTGCAGCCTGCGGCGCTGCCCCCCACTGCCTCCCCCCACCCCCTGCAGGAAGTACGAGGAGATCTACCCGCCTGAGGTGGATGATCTTGTCTACGTCACCGACGACACCTACAGCAAGCGGCAGCTCCTGCGCATGGAGCACCTGCTCCTGAAGGTGCTGGCCTTCGACCTGACCATCCCCACCACCAACCAGTTCCTCCTGCAGTACCTGTGCAGGCAGGGGGTCTGCATGCGCACACAGAACCTGGCCAAGGTAGGCAGCCCACCCGCCCCACCCAGGAGGGTGGGGGCTGCCCCTGGCACCCCTGCGGGGCTCGCAGGGTGTCTGTCGCCGGACTGGAGGCCAAGCTGGCACTGGGCCGCCCGGCATCGAGCCACAGTCAGGTCCCGGAGCCTGGCTGCTGCATCCAACAAACATCCAGCAGTTCTGACGCCTGGTGGGACTCTGTCCATAGCCAGGACAGAGTCTAGCTGCCTGGTGGGTTTCCAAGGTGGTAAAGCTTCAGTGGGATTGAACCACCAACCTTGGGTCTAGCAGTCCCACAAGTAACCCATGACACCGGCTGGGCTTCCTGCCAAGAACGGATTAGTTGAACCTGAGTCTCCTCTCACCTGAAGAAGTAAGGATGGCGCTGTGGGTTAAGCCCTGAGTCGGCAGGTGAAAGCCACCAGCCACACCCAGAGAGGAAGATGAGGCTGTCTGCTCCCATTTTGATTGACAGCCTTGGGAATCCTACACAGGGGAGCAGTGAGGCGGAGGCAGCTTGGTGGCAGGGGCAGGGGTTGGGCTTGGCCCATCTTCACGGGCCCTGGTGGTGTAGGGTCAAGTGCTTGGCAGCATGGAGGAAGCCCCGACCGACCGACCATCTGTTCCCATTAAGCAACGCCTGGGAAATGCTGTGGGCAGGGCCCCTCTGTGCCAGGGAGCTGTCGGGACTCCGAGATGGCCCCAGGGCAGTCAGTGACCATCTGACCCTAACAGACAAGGTCAAGAGACAGCAATTGGCCGCTGGGGGCCATTTCCACCACTGCGGAGACTGAGCCATGAGACGAAAAGATAACGGAATCATGTTGGGAACTCCTGGGAGCCCCCTGAACGCTGAACCTCAAACAGATGGACTCTGAGGCACACCTGTACTTCCTGCCTTACTCACCTGATGGAGCGCACTCTTCCATGGGGCTACAACCGGGGGGTGTCTGGGGGCACAGTTCAGCCCGAGCACCTAGGGAGTGAGGCTCTACCACGACGCCCATGGGGCACCCGAGTCAGGAGCGACTCCGGTAACTGCTGGGTGGTGTGTGGGCTGAGATACAGGTTCTCGGCAAGAGGACGATGATTTTCCCCACAGAGGGTTTGAAGGCCCCCAGCCGCCCACATGTCTCACATGGGGTGCCAGCGTCCCCTTGGTATGACCACCTCTCCTTGGATCCCGAGGTCTGCTGGTCCAGCGAGCTCCTCTGTCCTGTGCGTAGTACGTGGCAGAGCTGAGCCTCCTGGAAGCTGACCCTTTCCTGAAGTACCTCCCATCACTGATCGCCGCCGCAGCCTACTGCCTGGCCAACTACACCGTCAACAGGCACTTCTGGGTAAGGCTCTCCGCCCCCTGCCCCCTCCCACTGCCCTTGAATTCGTCCTTCACCTAGAGCCTCTGCTCACATATGCTCAAGAAGAGGCCGCCTCTTACGGGAGGGAGAGGGCAGTAAATAAGGAGCAGGAGCCCTGGGGGGAAAGGGTCGACACTTCAGTGCTCAGCTGCTGATAGGCCGTCATTTCAAGCACCACCAATCAACTACCCATAGCCACTGATGACCACCCACCGACTACCCACAGCCACTGACCACCACCCACCGTCTACCCACAACCACTGACCACCACCCACCGACTACCCACAACCACTGACCACCACCCACCGACTACCCACAACCACTGACCACACCCACCGACTACCCACAACCACTGACCACACCCACCGACTACCCACAACCACTGACCACCATCCACCGACTATTCATAGCCACTGACCACCACCCGACTACCCACAACCACTGACCACCACTCACCAACTACCCACAACCACTGACCACCACCCACCAACTACCCATAACCACTGACCACCAACTACCCATGACCACCGGCCACCACCCACCAACTACCCATAACCACAGGCCACCACCCACCAATTACCCATAGCCACTGACCACCACCCACCGACTACCCATAGCCAC